GCTGTAGTTGCTATGTATACACATACCTATAACTTGCTGGAGTTGCTATGTATACACATACCTGTAACTTGCTGGAGGACTTGAGGGCCTTTTGTAGTGCACCAACATCAGTAGTCAAAACTTTGATCTTGTTAAAGTTCAAGAATACTCCAATGTCAATATCTAAATCAAAGATAACAAAAAAAAGCTTATTTGCAAAATGATAGAAATAAAGAAAATTTAGACCATTTACAATCCTGTATAGAAATAAGGACTGAATAAACACCTACACTAAATCAGATTGGTAACTTCAAGTGTTTAAAAGTCACAAGACTTTGAAGCAATGCTAGATTATAGAAAAGACAGGATTCAGATTAGCCAGAGGGTATTACTATAGTAAACTAAGATTTTTTTCAGGACAAAAAAACTTTAGATAAATATCCTGATTGGACAGAGTCTAGTTTACAGATACATACATCCATCTTCACTTTCAGCTATCACTTTCTTCATAAATCTGTCCCGATGTAAATTTGAATCACTGAAGTAAAATTCAACCTGAAAAATAATTAAAATGACTTGATCAACAATTATGAGAAAGCACTACAATTTAGAAATACAGTTTAATTAGTGAACTTTCTATAGATTTTATTCAGGGCTGAAATCAGAACAAGAGGCCCAGAGGGCCTGTATCGCTCACATTTTTCTTTTGTTACATGAAACTGACATATAGGTAACTTCAGACCAAATTTGGTAACTAGAACACAAGACATTTTAACATCTCTTAAACGCTTCTTATCTCTTAAACGCTTCTTAAGATATTGTTGTTTTATCTTTGAAATTTAAAGCTTTTGACCCATGTTAACATTTGACCCATCGACTAGCACATAAAGTTAACCTTTGACCTTATTACTGTAATTTAGAAAAAAAAGATTCGCACTGATGGTCTACATAACATATCCAAGTATCATGGCTCTAGTCCAAATGGTTCTTAGGATATTGTTGTTTGAAGTTTTTAACACATTTGACCACTGTGACCTTGAAACTAGGTCAAAGTCATTTTAATGAGGAAACTTTATAGCACTCCATCCCAGGTACCTACTGGCCAAATATCATGACCCTAAGTCCTCCAGTTCTTCAAAAGAAGTTGTTCAAAAGAAAATGTTGACGGACGGACGACAGAAGACAGACGCCGCAGTACAGTGTAAGCTCATTGTCAGCTGCTACATATATAGAGAATACAATCTTGAGAGTACACTCCTCATAGCACCTACAGCTAGGATACATTTTAGTTAAGATACAAACAACATAAAATGAGCTTTCTTTATTACACACAAAGGATAAATGCATCTTCCTTTTTATATAAAAAAAGGTCCAGATTCTAGGTGTCCTTATTAGACACTCCTCAGGCTCCTGGCAAATAGATCCACCACCTAAATCACATCACAGGCACAGTACAGTATTTCTCATTAATTTATCAATCAATAACAGATGCCACACTTACTAGTTTATATTTCCCACCTGACTACTAAATATTACCTGATCTCTTATGTTATTGTAGAGAGACTTCATCCTCTTTCTTGGTTTCTTCTCTGTTCCTTCAGATGCCACTTCCATCTCTTAAAACATTGAAGCAATGTATAACATTAAAGCAAATCTATGATCAACTAAAGATTTGTTTTTGAGAACAAAATCATATCTCCAATTAACAGCCAATACTCGTACTTGCTCTGCACATATTTGACCTTAAAGGCGAAGGTCATCATCACCTAATAAAAAGGTATTAATTATTAATTTCTTATATTAGAAGAACTTAAAAAAAACACAAGTATGTTCTACATATATTAAAAGGCTGCACTGACATTAAATGGTACATACATTTGTGTTCTTCGAGATATGTAGGTGATATATTATTAAATGTACATGTATATATAAATTGCTTACATTATGATAAACAAAATTGTTTGTTTCTTTTGTTATTGATTGCAATGGTACCCTTGATAAGATAAAGCACCCTATCTAGTTAACATAAGCCACTTTAAAGTGGTTTACAGAACATAGATATACAATTAATACAATTAGAATATATATTAATCAATACTATTTTTGAGGAATTTGCAGGAGCTGTCTTATCAGGCACTAACTACTAGTCCTATGCCACCTGGCTAATATCTCCCCATGTGTGTATGCCTGCGTGTGTGCTGGACTATGTTTTGTTTGTAGTGGGACCGCGCTTTCAACGGCATCATTTATAGTGCCACCTCACTTGAACACTACAACACAGATACCGCAACATCCACCCCAGACCAATTTATACTCCACCTTGGTTGTTGAAGTTGTGTTGTCAGGAGAAAAACACTTTCTCTGAATATCCATGCGTATGACTGAGGGGTAGAACCTGCGTGGAAGGCCAGAGTGTAACCACTCAACCAATCCGCCCATAAAAAAAGGCAATTAACCCATCACCCCTTGTACAGTTGTTACATGTTTAAGTGAAACCTATAAATCACAGTCGGTGAATATGATTTTGTGATTACTGATTGTCAATTTTTTATAGCTATTACAACAAGAGGCCCAAGAGGGCCTGTATCGCTCACCTGAATATTTAAGCAGTCATAGCAAAATATTCTCATTAAATATTATATTGCACTAAAAATATTTCCCTCGCAAACTTTGTTGGCTCCATCTGTTAAAACTACGAGCAAAATATTATTATAAGATTCTATGCTTTTTGATTCTTCTTCAGAAGTTGCTCGACATATTTTTCCCTGTGACCTTGTAAGTAGGTCAATGTCATTTTCCTTTTCCAATTGGTTAGCTCTATTCCTTAAAGCTTCTATATTATATATTATAATTGTATGCCTTTTTATTCTTCAGAAGAAGTAGTTTGAACTATTTGACATATTTGATTGCTGTGACCATGAAAGTAAGTCAAGGTCGATTTCATTCACAAACTTTGTTTGGCTCTATCCCAGGAAGCCATCAATCAAATATAAAGATTCTATACCTTCAAGTTCTTCAGAAGAAGTCGTTTGAAGCATTTGACATATTTGACCCCTGTGACCTTGAAAGAAGGTCAAACTAATTTTCATTCTCAAACTTTGTTGGACTCTATCCAAGGAAGCCACCAGCCAAATATAAAGATTCTATACCTTTCAGTTCTTCAGGAGAAGTCGTTGGAAGCATTTGACATATTTGACCCCTGTGACCTTGAAAGAAGGTCAAACTAATTTTCATTCTCAAACTTTGTTGGGCTTTATCCCAGGAAGCCACCAGCCAAATATAAAGATTCTATACCTTTCAGTTCTTCAGAAGAAGTCGTTTGAAGTGTTTGACACATTTGACCCCTGTGACCTTGAAAGTAGGTCAAGGTCATTTTCATTCTCAAACTTTGTTGGGCTCTATCCCAGGAAGCCATCAGCCAAATATGAAGATTCTATACCTTTTAGTTCTTCAGAAGAAGTCGTTTGAAGTTTTTGACATATTTGACCCCTGTGACCTTGAAAACAGGTCAAGGTCATTTTCGTTCTCAAACTTTGTAGGGCTCCTACCAACGAAGCTTTCAGCCAAATATCATGACTTTAGGCCTGTCCGTTCTTCAGAAGAGGTTGTTTAAAGGAAAAGTTGACGGACGGACGGACGGACGGACGGACAGACGGACGGACGACGGACGCCGTGCCACGGCATAAGCTCATTTGGCACTTCGTGCCAGGTGAGCTAAAAATGAACATAATTTACTTGCCAGTATATAGCCCCGAGTTTCCTCTGGCCTTGAATTGACACCAGACTTAGACATTTTGACAAATAGATGTCTGGTGCGGGGCACGAGCGCATGCAATGCTATATAAAAATATTGAATTCTTCGACACCGTTCGGTGCTGACAACAAAAATTGACTATAACACAAATCCGCTCTTATTATCACCATCAACTGCTAAATTCTGTCAGCAGATTCCTCGCTTTTCAATCATTCAAAATTTCCCACTTGAGCGGACGCTATTTTTGTAGGTTAGGGTAGTGACTAATCAACAAAAAGAGGCGGCCCAGATATTTTCTAAACAAGAATGATAAATTCCGTTTTCGTCCGAATCATGATCAATCAGTACAGCCTGTTGATTACTCACTTATACCCTGACCTACAAAAATGACGTCCGCTCAAGTGGGAAATTTTGAACGATTGTAAAGCGAGGACTCTGCTGACGGCATTAAAATTTAATTCCAACAGAACCCTCATATTTTTCACTAATTAATCCATTCTACTACAGTTTGTCTGCCTAAAAGAGGGGGAGTTTGTCATCAGTGTCCATCCTACAGAACAAAATGCTTTGTGGATATTTAAAAACACGACAAAATTAGTATTTTATAAGGAGCATTGCAATCTGTTGAAGTTGTAAGTTAAGTACTGTATACCTGTTGCGTTTGTCACGTGTGGAATGGAACACCGTCGTGATTTCGTTTTTCCCTCATTTAAAACCGGAAGTAAATAAAACATTTATCTTGAAATGTTATACACAATTTGATTGGTTCACTGAAAAATATTAACCAATCAAACGCGTATTTACAAATTCGTACGGCTATTTTTGCAAGCGATGGCTGCCTTCAGAAGATAGATACATGTCGACTCGCAATCCCGACTATGGCATTTAAAAGCAAAGACAACTTTGGGGTGGAACATCCTAAAGTGACGTATCCGACTGGTTTGCCACCAGGAGTCAACAATGGATCAGTCAACTTTCAGTCACTTCTGACAGCCATTAGCAACTGTGCTGTGCCTCTTGTGCACCAACTTATCCAACAAACTCCATCACTTGTTCACGAAAAAGGTGTGATTAATTGACATGGTGGTTTATGTTGGTAGTGCACTTTAATTAGAAAATCACAGACCTGTCAGTATGTTTAGTGTATATATATATAAAAAGCATTAAAACAATTGATGTACATCTAAACAGTTTCTTTGGTTCAGATAATCTGCCGCAGCATTATCTATGTGAGCTTCATACTGTTCATTCTCTCACCTGATCCTTGTCATTTGCTTAACCAACTGTTAAATTACAATCGGTCTTACGAAAGAAACAAAGTTTGGTCAATATTAGTGAATGAGTAGCTAAAAGGATTCACACTGACCTAAAGTCACATCTACTTAATTATATAAATTACAGGTCAGGCCAATTAGTAGCATAGGTGTGAATAAAAGTTGTGAACGGCAGGCAGATTTCATGGCGCATGGCTTGGTGTCAATGGGGAGAATAATGTTGTTAGAAGGATTATAGTCTGTTTCTGAGTAGTACTAATATTAATACCCGGCCTCCTCTGCCCCCGCCGGGTATTAAATTGATCTCATGCCTTGTAATGGAGCAAGCCTGGTGTGTCTCATAAACACGGAATTAGATTAGTGGTATCTTAGTCCGTGTCATAACGGGGTGATTTTAGAATTAATCGACAGCACATTGGTCCGCATCCTTAAATAGGGTTGTAGTATGAACTATTTCTGTTGGTATCCTGTATAACTTAAAGTGAAACTCTACCTAAAATGTTGTTAAATTATCAAGTTAACGCAGCAAGCGAAATCGAAAATCTGATTTGACTGCAATGTTGGAAACTTCGTCTCTTTCCCGATATAAATCAGATGCCTATATATGGGTATCATTTGGTTTCAACAAATTTTATTGTGTTAGACAACAGGCAGTGCCTATATAAGTCTTCTCCTGTACCGGTACAACATATATACATTTACACAGAATAATAAGGTATATTTGCAAAATTAGCGATAATTAATTACTTATTGAAATAGATGGACAATTATATGGAAAATATGTATATATATTTGAATTTATAATATGGCTGAATGTTTAAACTACAAACACTAATACCAACGCTCACTCTTCTACCAGTGGCGTAGATGTCTAGGTCACTTTCGATGTTATAGTACAAGTACTGCGCCACTGGCAACATACATACTTCTACACCCACACACACACACATACTCGGAGCAGATTGATATAACGGGAAGTATTAAATAAAAATATACTTATCATATTCAAGTTAAAGGGGCGTGATATCACGGTGAAGTAACTTCTTTTTTTTCTTTTTTTTTTTAAATACTGCATAAACATATCAACAATGGAAAATAATGATCGGATTTGGCTGAAATAGATTCATAAAAATGATTAAATCTAAGATAATCATCGTTATTTCTACCTGTCTGGCCAACGTTTTGTTCAGGGATTTCCCTCTACTAGCGCATGCGCATAGCACACCATTTCTTTGTAAACAAAATAACTGGCCGTGTGAAGTAAGCGAAAGAAAAGTGTTGTACCATGTCAGCTACGAAGTGAAAAGTTGTCAAATAGTCAAAAGATAGCGCAAGGAGTACGTTACAGAATCATTATTACAGGTGGGAAGTATTCAAAGGAGAAAATAACTGCCCTGCCTTAGCAGTTAGTACAGTGCATGTATTCTTCCGGATAGCCGGTGAAGCTGAAATGGAATCAACAGAAATTCTAGCGCTGTTTATGTTATGAATAAATATCTAAAACTATTAATCTCGCTAGTATCTTTGTCTGAGTTTGAACACAGATGAACTGAGTGTAATATGTTTATGGGCATGTATCGGAGAGAGTTTACTTTGTGTTTCTATAATTATACAGTGGTTTATGCTAAAGGAAGGGATAAGTGACTGATTAGTTTGATTTTGCCATGAGGCCCTCCAAGGAATAACTGTTGTGATGGCCACGGCATAATCTGTTCGTTCCTCTGTCGGTACTCGGGGTCAAATGAGATACGTGCGCTATTACATTTACATATTTTATAATATTCCCGGGTTCAGTAAAATGGTTTGATTTAATTATATTGCTGAATTAAACAATTTTTTTGTTTTTACATGCAAGATTTGAATTAGTACTAATATGAATACCCGGCCTCCTCTGGCGCGACGACGCAATGTATAAAAAAAAATCTCGTCATCAGAAAGCTACGTTATCGCAGCTAGATTAAAAATGTCAAAATGACGGTTGAGTATGAATAACTGAGGAAGGAGAACTATTGGACAGTAACTCACAGAGTTATTGCCCTTTGTAATAATATTATTATTGGACCTTGTAAACACGATAACTTGAATAAATGTTGACGGAGTTCAATGAAACTTTGTCCGGTAATTATTTGACGGTAACCTGCAGAGTTATTGCCCTTTGTCATTATATTATTATTTGTCCCTGTGATGTTGATTGACATTACACAAGAATAGATGTAAATTCATGTGGTCCACCTTTTTTTTCATTCATGACGCATTTTTG